CTAAGAGAAGATGGGGATGGTGCCCAGGAGAGGAGAGTGATGGAAGACTGGGGGCACTGGTCAGCATGTCAGGCTTCTCTTCAAGGGAAACGTGAAACCACCAAAAGGTTTTAAGCAGAAGAATGACCCAATTTGATTTAAGATTTAAAGATCACTTTTAGGCCGGGCGTGGTGGCTCACGCCTGTAATCCTAGCACTCAGGGAGGCTGACTCAGAGGATTGCTTGAGGCCAGGAGTTGAAGACAAGCCTGAGCAAGAGCAAGACCCCATCTCTACAAAAAATAGTAAAAATTAGCCAGGTGTGGTGGCACGTACCTGTAGTCCCAGCTACCCAGGAGGCTGAAACAGGGGGATCACTTGACCCCCCCGAGGAGTTTGAGATTGTAGTGAGCTATGATGATGCCATCGCACTCTAGCCTGGGTGACAGAGCAAGGCCTTCTCTCTAAATGAATGAGTGAATGAATGAATAAATAAATAAAGAATCTATCTATCTATCAGTCATCTGTCACTTTTGTTGCTTGTGGAGAATGGAAGATAGCAGGACCAAGTGTGGTTCGAGGAGACAGGACCTGATAATGGTTTGGGATGGAGGAGTAGAGGAGAAAGAGGAAGCGAGCACGACTCCCGGGTTTCTGGCTTGTGGGACCATTTACTGAGAAAAAGAACACTGGAGAAGGAGCAGTTCGGGGAGGAAGAGGATGAGTTCATACTTGGACAAGTTCAGAGTTGGAAGTGCCTGCAGTATATCCAAGAGGAGACGCCCAGTAAGCAGTTATACTTATGAGCGGAGATTCCAGGAGTGAAGTCTGGGCATATAGGTAGTAAGTGACACAACAGATGATTAGCATGTTTCATGGCATACTTAATATTTTTATCTTTTTCATCTGCTTTTTGTCTCTCAGGAGTTGCAGAAATGAATCCTGTTACTGTAGTCAACAGATGGTTTCTCTTCTAACGCTGACCAACAGTTAAAAAAACATAAATATTTTGCTTATTGCCTCAAACTTCACCTTCAGTCTGTAAACACACCATATCCTAGCAAAGCAAACTTGGAGACTGCCAATTTTTTTTTTAATGAGTCTATGAAAATTTTAGGGCTGACTGCAACCCAGACTCCCTCATTATACAACTAGGAAACGATGGTCAGTGAGGTTGTGCATTTCACAAGGTTACACCTGGGCAGTTGCAGAATTGGCCCTAGAGTTCAGGACTCTACTTACTGGGCAGTCTTATTTCCACTACTTTTTACTGCTTCCTCCTCCTATTGAAGAGCTGCTAGGTTTCAGAGTTCTTCTTACTAACGATTTTTCTCACAGGACATGGAACAGTGCTTACCTTGTTTGGTCTCAGAGCTCTGAGGGCTGGAAATGTGTTTTTATAGAATATTAATAATGATAAATATTCAAAGGAAAATTTGGATTTCTTATGAAAGCACTTTAAAACTTTTCATGGACCCTTTTGGTTCTGTAATGAATGAATAACTCCGTGACCGTGCATATAGACATAAAATTTTACATATAGTTTCAGGAACTACATAGATTCCAAGTTAAAGAACTCCTGTTATATAATTTGTGCTACTCTCAAGGATATGTGAATCAGTTTTTCTAGAAAGAAGTTCAAGAATTTCCTCATTGCAGCCGGGCGCGGTGGCTCACACCTGTAATCCTAGCTCTCTGGGAGGCCGAGGCGGGTGGATTGTTTGAGCTCAGGAGTTTGAAACCAGCCTGAGCAAGAGCGAGACCCCGTCTCTACTAAAAATAGAAAGGAATTAATTGGACAACTAAAAATATATAGAAAAATTAGCCGGGCATGGTGGCGCATGCCTGTAGTCTCAGCTACTCGGGAGGCTGAGGCAGGAGGATCGCTTGAGCCCAGGAGTTTGAGGTTGCTGTGAGCTAGGATGACACCACGACACTCTAGCCCAGGCAACACAGTGAGACCCTGTCTCAAAAAAAAAAAAAAAAAAAAATTTCCTCATTGTATTGAATAAGTACCAATAAATTTTAAGGGATTCAATGGTCATTCAGTTAACTTCTCAAATGCCTCACAGACAGTCCGTGTCTGCTGATCCATTAGTCACTGTTGACTAATGTAATATCCATCTTGGTGACACATTCTCTGGCAGTTTTAAAAAGTGGTTGCGTAGAAGTGAATTAGAGAGTCAGAAATCTATTAATGTCTTAGTAGAAATTTCATATCTTCTTTACGTTCTTAAAACTAACAGCTCAGTTAGATGTTATTTGAGCCCTGACAATAAAGGGCTTACCTTTCCTGATCAAAGTCGGGGCAAAGAGAAGCCTGTTTTATTGGTATTAACCTATTTTTGATGTATCTGATTAAACATAATAGGGAGGAGGAGAAAATACAAACTATCATCCTCACTTTCAGCCCCCAAAGGCAAAAAACATATACAGAGCTTATGTGCATGGATTGTAATGTAGTATCCAGAGCAGGGGGAAGGACTTAACCCTGCGTGCCCTTAGGTTGTTTTAAGTTGAAGGTAGAAACATCCTCTCCCTTGGGCACCAGCTTCTTCCCCTCCACCACCTGCATTCTTCAGTTATCTGAGAATCATATCCTCTTCATTTCTTTTGTGCTCAGAAATTTCTTCCAGGCTGTGGACCCTCCTGCTCAGGGTATATCTTTAGCTGACCAAGATATATGCTTTTCCTCATTCACAAGTTTCTTTAAAATCCTGTTTGTTCTATGGAGCTTCTAGTGACAAATTGGTGCCTTTTTTGTTACAAACTTTTTTCATATCACTTTCTAAAATGTGCCTTCCCTCCTTCCTCCTCCCTAGAATAAAAGCCTCATGAGGGCAGGGATCTTATCAGTCTCATTCATAACTACATTCCTATTACCCAGGGCAGTGCCCAGTGCCAGGTACTGGCGGGTGCTCAGTAAATCTTTGAGTGAATCAGTGGGTGAATATCTTCCCCATAAATTCCTCAAGGACAGGGACCATGCCTGTTTTACTTACAGCTTAAGACAGCACACACAGATTTTCAGTAAAGGATGGTCTATAGCCTCCTAAGAGCACTGCCTCACGGTCCCCTTCCACTTGAGAACTTTCTGTTGTTTACACAGAAGCCACACAGAACTTCCAGTGCTCTAAGTAATTTGGCCAGTAGAATAAACTTTCCTTCTTGCCAGAGACTTAAGCACAGTGGCTCAGAGGTTTGGCTATGGAAACAGACTGCCTGACTCAAATCTGGACCCCTCTCCTTACTCACTCAGTGACTCTGGCAGTTACTGATGCTTTATGTGCCTCAGTTTATTCATCTGTAAATTAAAGCAAACAGTAACATCTGTTTTATAGGATTATTTTGAAGATTAAATGAGTTGCTATCAGTAATGTTTTAAGAACTATTCTAGCACATATGTACTCAAGAAATGTGGGTATGATCATGATGTGATGGTGGTGGTGGGCTTTGGCCAATAATATTGTAGGGCAAATATTTTTGTATTGTGTTATTATCTGATCCTTCCATCTTATTAATATTTTTCTTCATCATTGCTTTCTCAAAATATAAGAATCAAGTCTTCTCCGAAATATTATTGTCACTCAAAATAGTCGTATTAAGTAATTTTTTTAAAAAAGATAGCTTATTAAGAAATACAATTTGATTCTTTGCATTGGTCACTTACAATTATTATGCAAAGTTTATTTTCATGGGGGTACCGAGTAGATTTTTCTTCTCCAGAATCTATGTAAAATAAATTTCTTCTATTTAGAGCATTTCTATAATACTGTCCTTCATATTTGAATCTTTCTCACTTATTTTCTGGAGGACAAGATTAATAATATATTACTTGTTATTATAAAGTCAGGGTAAACTAGCCAGCATGGAAGATTTTTCCTTGCAAGGTTATTTTCATGAGTTTTTAAATATTATTTCACATAGAAATTAATTATGGTTCTGTGTGTCTTTTTGTTTCACATGGTGAATCCATAAATGCCAGAGTCAAAGTGTTTCTGTCAGGAAGAATTATTTTTTTAGGTCAACCTTAAGAATGAGGGTGGGGGGTACAAAAAGGAAAGCCTTCCATTATATTCCACACCCTCAATTGATGACTTATAATAATCTTGACTCTGGGCATAGAGAGAAACTACAAGTAAATTGAAACATAATCAGTCTATTACCTAAATCTGCCCTTTTTTGGTTTTTGTTATTGCTAAAATATTAGTAATAAAAATACTACTCATAGTTTCCTAATAGTCTAAAATTAGTCTTCATTTTCTATTTGGTCCTCTGCACTTCTAATTTTCAAAGGCACTTAGGAAAAAAAAAATAAAAGAACCTTGGAATGGATCTTAAAGGAATAGACTGCTTATAAGCAGAAGACAAGATGTCTGAGATTTTTCTCATTTGCTTCTTAATTGGGTGTATAGATGATAGGTCTGTCCATGAAGGAACTTCTGTATAAATGAGTTGTCCTATTTTGGGTCCATTGGAGCTCTCTGGCCTCCCCAAGTCCAGGAAGTTGTAGGCGTGGGCAGTTAGGTTCTTTGTCGGTGATATCACTTAATTTTAATTCTCAACATACCAGTCCTTTTCTTACAGAAAGTTTCACTACAGGCTTGGTGAGATGAGTAATAAAGCTTTTCTTGGGTCATACGGATAATGCTGGAAAATGACAGAAATAGAGTACTTAAAAAATACAAGGTACTTGGCTTGGCAGGAGTAGAGAATTGAATCAAAAACCTAGAGCAGATGGCATAAAACTAAATTATTTGAATAAAAGAATAAAAGGGAAAAAAGAAGATTGGTTAGTCTACACAGCCTAGGTTGACTTTTTTAATGGTCTGTCAGTGTTGTCTGTCATGATGACATTTAGTGGGAAAGATGTTGCTTGCAGAATATGACCTGGCTGTGTGGTATGGTAACAATGGTCTCTGGTATTTAATCCTTATAGCCTGACTTGTAAGTGGTATGTAGGTGAGGGTGGTGATTTGTCAGGAACCTTTCACAAATCACATCTTTCTTCTGCTTTCTAGATTTTCACCTGATGGAAGATTAATTGTTTCATGTAGTGAGGATAAAACTATTAAAATTTGGGATACCACAAATAAGCAGTGTGTTAATAACTTCTCAGATTCTGTAGGGTAAGTACACTCTTGTACATTTATGTGGGTTAGTTTGCTAAGGTGATATTTAATGATAACAATTTAAATAAAGAAATGAAAGTAGAAAAATTGAAATATTAGACTATCTTATTATTTCCTTCTAGATTTGCAAATTTTGTGGATTTTAACCCTAATGGTACATGCATAGCTTCAGCAGGTTCTGATCAAACTGTGAAAATCTGGGATATAAGAGTGAATAAATTACTCCAGCATTATCAAGGTAACAATTTCCCTAACAAAAAAGAATCAATTATTGAATGGGCTTCTCTGGGAAGGACCCATTCTCCTTCTTGGTGTGTTTTGCCCCTCTCGATGAGGGCCCTGGTCTGCCTTTGAACTGGCTAGAGAAGAGTATAGTTGGCTCCCATCAACAGCAGGGGCTGAGAAGCTGCAGGGAAGAGGGAGTTAAAGAGACCTTAAAAATGATGTTAGGGCTAGAAGAAAACTAAGTTACTGTGAGATCTTCAAACTCTGATTCTCTGCATTGAGTGAGAAGTCAGGGAATAAAATTGACTCTGAGTTCTGAATCACAGGGAGGTATTTGAGCACAAATAGGTGTTATAACTGTACAGACAACTTCCTGCTGTGCCTATGTATTGAGGCTAAAAGAGAAGTGAATTGATTTTCTTGGTTTATATTGGATTTATATTAAATCCACATTATTATTTTACGTAAGTAGCTATCACTTATTCAGTATTTAACATGTAGCAGACGTTATGCTAAATCCTCCCAATATTCCTAAGAAGTACCATTGTTACCCCTTTGTTTTAAAGATAAGGAAATTAAGACTTAAACAGAGAAAGTAACTTGCTCAAATAGTTGGTAGAACTGACTGAGGTCTTCCTGCTTACAAGTGCATAGAATAATAACTTTTGATCACTGTGTTATACTGCCTCCTATTGGAAGGATGGTATCCAGAAATGAATTCTCCAACATGATGGCAGGACTGTGCCCTTCTTTAAATATATCTCCACATTCTTCACACCTTAATCCCAAGCCACTAATTGGTTATTAAATTAGCCGGGCGCGGTGGCTCACGCCTGTAATCCTAGCTCTCTGGGAGGTAGAGGCAGGCGGATTGCTTGAGCTCAGGAGTTCGAAATCAGCCTGAGCAAGAGCGAGAC